GTATGGTTTTCATCCTTGTGTTGGTTAACATACCTGGGCATGTCAAAATTATTTATTAAATGAATTAATTCAAGCAGATGACAATTCCATAGATATTTTACACAATTATACTTACGTCACCGAGTAAATTGGCCCATCAAAATGTGTCTTGAATAAAAAACAACCATTTCAACTGCCAAAGACATTTTGGGATAGCAAGTTTTGCTCCAATGTACAAGGAAAGTATTAAACAAGTCATTTAAAACTTAAACTAGAGAAGTAATTGTAGAACAATTTAAAATAGAACAAACTACATTATTTTCAATTACTATATTGCTTTATGATAATCCTAGTACCTAGGGAAAAGAGACTTATGAGGTCATTTAATTCTAAAATGTTATATATTCAAAATGTATTTAGGTCATATTAAGGCTCAGAAATGGATGTACAGTATTAGTATTTTAAAGATATATAATTAAATCTATTAGACAACCAAATTTGCAAATATAAAGTATTATAAATGAATACAAGTAATATTTTATAGATACGAAGGGCACTACAATAAAATATTTCATTATTTAAGTATTATTTAGTTCTAGATTTTTCACTAGGTGGCAGACTTAGTGCAGTTTCTCAGTTTAAACTAACATAAATGGTGTAGGTTCAATTATATAGAACAGAAATGGCACATCACATAAATTTTGTTGTCCTATCTAATTTCAACTCTAGAAGTCACTTAAATACAGTGACTAGATCACTCAATCATTTTATTACTGACTCTTACTAAGACCTCAAATACATCTGGCTACATATATATATATATATATATTTCTGTTTGATGTAATGTGTTAGAAAAGGATTATAAACAAAAGATTTCAAGTGGTCACAAATTTGTCTAAAGTTAGAAAAATAATATATGTGAAAGATAAAAGCCATATTTCTCAAAGAAAATAAAAATTTCCAAAAGTTGAGATATATTTTTCATTTGTTTACTCTTTGTTTCCTCAGAAATTCCTTCTCTGGCCATATATCTCAGTACCTTCCAAGATGTTCCTCACAAGCTATCCATTCACTAGCATCTTAAAGCTATTTAATTTGTGAACCACAGATTTTAGTCATCCACATTTGCCATCCTTAGAAAAATATGTACATCCTTATAATTTATGAATTTGTTGCCGTTTCCTCTATTAGATCATAAGAGTCTAATATAAAGGCAGGAATTTCATGTTCCACTTCTTTTTTATCTCCTGGAGACCAGAGCTCTCCAACAGCAAACACTTGATATTTATTTGCTAAATTAGATACTAAATATTGTCCTCAGTAAATTGAAACAACAATAATGAAGTTATGATCTAACAGCTCCTATTTCCGGATAGATACAGAAGTAGAGATTACAAAAGTTTAAAATAGAGTTGACTTGTAATATCTGAAACTCCAACATGTTACTAGATATTCTTAATAACTTACTATTTTATTTGGGTCATTTGAGTTTCCTTTCCTACCTCCCTATTTATTAAAATAGGGAGGGGGGCAGGTTCGTGTTCTAGACCCTGACTGTGTGTGACCCAGGCTCTGCTACCTACTAGAATGTTACCTTGAACGTTTTGTTTGGTTTTTCTGGGCCTCAGTTTCTTCGACTGTAAACTAATAATTGTAAGTAAATCATAGAGTAGTTTTTGGAATTTGAAGAAACAGTAAGTGACTCTCTCGATTTCCTAAACAAGTTGGAAACTATCGAGACCCAAAGAAGTCAGGCAGTTGGGGATCCCATGCTAGGCAGAACTGTGTAACGTTGGTGCCTGGCAGTAGTGGAGAGCCCTGATCAGGAGCCCTGCTAGACAACCACTGGGTCTTCCCTGTAGGGCTGGGCTCACTTCATGGCCTGGCTCAGACCGGCACACACCCAGAGATACTGAAAAGGCAGAGTCAGGAGTGAGCCATATGTCCCCAACTCCTCCCAGGGAACAGGGGGTGCAGATGGAAGCCCAAAAGAAGGAGGTCCTTAACCTGATGTTCTGAAGATTACATGAATCAATACATGGAAAGCTCTAAGAATCATGCTCTGTAAATTTTAGATATTATCGGGTTTTGGACCTTTCTTTAACCTTCCAAAAGATTAAAAAAAAAAAAAAAGTGAAAAGACAAAGAGAAAAACCTCAGGTCAGTTAATTTTCCTTTTTAGAAGCTCAGATCATGAATATGGCATTTATTCTCTAAATGAGACTACATGCTTTATCTTCATTCGTCCATGTTGCTCTTATTTATTCATTTTAGTTTCTGTTTTGACAGCCGATTGACACACCATATCATGGTAAATATCTTTAGAGACATTGTTCTTTTAAGATATTTCTTAAGTGAATACTTTTGAAACTTCCAGATGGTACGAGATTTGTCATTTCTTAGGCTTACCAGATGGAGTCCCACCAGCCCAAAAGTCAATTGATATTTTTTTCTATCAGGCCAGTCTTCTAATTTTTCAAAAGTTTCTGAGAAAATGAACTTTTAATCAAATGTGCTACCATTGGGGACTTCTGAGTGAGAATAGAGCTTCTAAAAGAAAGTCCTGAGGAATACAGATTATATGGTGTTTCTCCATAAACTAATCTAGTTAAATCACACCCCTTCTTCACCAAGATTTAATCCACTAAACCAAAAATACACAAATCAGAACTGCGAGATGTGTTTATTGTAACAAAGAATTATCAATTAGAGGAATATAATGTGAACTACTAGGACACTAGGAGGGAAACTTTGCCTTCCTGGCTGCTGTGCTTTAGTAGGAGGGCTGAGGTGTGGATGAAACCAACCAGAGTTTAGTGCAAAATGCAATGTAATAAGCAGTATTACAAATAAACCAAATACCAGGAGCCACTGTGGATTCTGACTTTAAGCAATGGTACAGCTTCATCTCAATGAGATTTGATAAGAACTTTAAGTAATTGTTGAGATTCCAAATATAGGGGTGGAGGAGGAAAGTAAGGAAGGAGGAAACTACATTTCAAGCAGAAATAGCAACAGGAGAAAAAAGAAAAATGTTAAGAAAATAGTAATACCACCACAACTAAGGAACAGGACCTGTTATGTATCAGACACTGTGCTAAGTCTTTCACAAACTGTATCTCTAAGTTTCATACCACCTCTCCTGTACAGAATCTGAGGTTTAGTGTTTCCTCAATCAACTCAAGGTAACAGAACTATTGTAAACCGTGATGAACTGCACAAATAAAATTATACTTTGCGGTACGCGGGCCTCTCACTGTTGTGGCCTCTCCCATTGCGGAGCACAGGCTCCGGACGCGCAGGCTCAGCGGCCATGGCTCACGGGCCCAGCCGCTCCGCGGCATGTGGGATCTTCCCGGACTGGGGCACGAACCCGTGTCCCCTGCATCGGCAGGCGGACTCTCAACCACTGCGCCACCAGGAAAGCCCAATAAAATTATACTTTTAACATTAAAAGTCAACAAAATAAATTATGTTCTGATTGTTCTTTTGCTGATATTATTTCAATCCAACTTATTACAAGTTACCTGTTGTACTTAAAGTACAATAATATTTGCTCTCAAAATGGAGATGAGGCCGTGTGGCTATATTTGTTCCTCTGAAGAGTGGATCTCATGAAACACCTGATGATACCGTAGTTTGCAAAGGCTTTGATTAGGTAAGTCTCGATACCGGTCCAGCAATGTAACCAAGAGGGCACATGTAGTTTTCACAGATAACTCTGAAATATAGCATTTTTAAGCATTTTTTAGGTCTTAACTGATAGGGTGACTAAGCCCCCTGGAAATTGACCTGAGGGCCCCTCAGGGAAGGCCCAGCAAGCCTGCAGACAGACCCTCACTCCCTGAGAGGAGGGAGAGGGTCTAGCAAACCATCCATCAGCTTTAGGGAGTTAGAGCCGAGGAAAGGGGTAATCGCACCCGTCATTCTGGAGTTCAGAGTCAGGGCTCCCAGCTTCCTCTCTAAGACACCAAGCCAAGCGCTCAGGCAGATGGAGTAACAGTGCCCTCACTCCTGGACCCCGCAGATAATGTGAGATCAGCTGGAGATGCTGATTTGTTTCTGAGCCACGAGTCAGATGTTTCTGGCCAGCATATTTCAGTCAGTTCTAGTGCCTGAGTTCAAGGCATGGGTTCAGCTACTGGTAGGAATTTGAAGTGGCCATAACTGGGTTTGAAGACATATTGTATGGAGAGCAAAGCTGATTATCACATGATGTGGCCGCCACAGAGAATCTCAAAATATTTGAGCCAGGACAGCTACCAGTGATCACGGACATCAGCTAGAGATCAGATCATCAAGCACAGCGACAATAAGAAGGTGTTTGCTGTGGTTTTATTTTGCCCGGTTTTTCGGCGGGGGGGAGAAATCATGCGTGTGCATGGGTATGTGTGCGCTTGCACACGTGTGTGTTTTTGAGGGAGAGGAGGTAAATGGAAAGAACGCTAATGCAAAACTCTGGGCAAGTGGAAAGTCTCAGGATCCTTCTAGAACAATGCCATCAATTGAGCCATGACCTCAGTTCATTACAATGAGTTGTTATTTCAGTTAAAATAGTTGCTCTTCTCAGAAGTTCATTGTAGCAGGATTTGGCATTTAAAAGCACATACTATGAGGACAGGGAACCATAGAAGATCAAAGAACTCAATTATGAACAATAAGCTCATCATAGGAAATTTTTGCCAATCTGGATATTCATCTTACAAATTTCTATTTCAATATTATCCATGAGGTAACTTCTTCAATCAGCTTTATGAATGTGTGGCAAGAAAATGCCTAATAAAAGCCAAATTACTGAATTTATTTTTCTTATGGTGCTAAAATGTTGGTTAAAATATTCTTTGGGAAAGAGGGTTTCATTTTTCTTGCACTGCACAGAACAGGTGATGTGGTATGGCCTGCTCTTATAATTGCGTGTAGTTTTATGCCTACAGCTAGGTATCACTCACTCATAAATATGTTGTTATAAAAAATACCATATTGGATTGTTAGCGTAATGCAAATGTTTCTTTGAAATGCAGGTTGTTTTCCAGTCTCAGTATTATCACAGAGCTCACCCACCCAGCCAACATGAGATTCATGCAATTCAGAGCCAAAGACTGTTACTCCCTTGCTCTTTCCAAGCTGGAAAAGGTAAGAATTCACATCATGAAGTAAGTTGCATTTAACCTTTTGGGTTGAAAGACTAACTCTAAAATTTCTACATGTAGAGAGGAATGCCATGAAATAGTAAAAATAAAAATGCTGTTTTGAATTCCTATATGGGGGCTAAAATCTTAATTTATAATTTTTTAAAAGTATTGATTGATGGATTTGAACCATTTATATCACAAGTGAACATGATAGAGGTATCTCGTTCCATCATCATTAATCATAAATTGAAAGCATGATATATGAAAGAGTTAAACTCAACAGGAGTATATATACTCACTTATAATGTCCATTATTGATAATACCACGAGTACTATGTCAAGACATCTATATTTACGTAGGAATTTGCAGTTTTCATAAATCCTTAAAGTCCTAGGAAACTTGTAGGCTTTGTTGAAAGTCAGTTCCCAAAGGAGATAATATGAGACACAAGCTCACAATCTGAGACAAAGCCAGGTTTATTGCTTACGTAAGGGAGGCTGTCACCTCAAGAGAGCTTTTTTGTTTTTTTTTTTTCGGTTTATAAATATTTATTAAAATTGAAAGTTGTTTGCTCTTCTATCCCATGAGCATCCATCCACCTGCCTGTCACCTGTTTAGATGCATGACTGCTGTCATAAATGCCCTTGGAATCTTTAGGATAACAGAACATCTGCCTTTGCTTAAAACTCCTTGTTCCTTGCCTTCCTAGCCAACACCTCTCTTCACAACTTTATATAAAAGGTCTCCAAAATTTGTACCCCAAGTGAGCCATCCATGAATAAAAACATATACCTGGGATCCAAAAAAAGTTGGCCTGGACATGTCAAAGACTCAAGTCCACCTAAGAAATAAGAGTGGTTTTATAATAGCCAAAGATGAATTTTCTCCCCACAAATCTAAAAAATGCCTGCAATCAGATAGAGCTAATTAAGACTCAGGAGAGCTTTGTCAATGTCTTGGAGTGGGGAAAGGAAGGTCAAAGTTTATCAAGAGTTGGGAATTGTATTTAATGAGGCTCTTTTCAAGTGGGGACTTACTAGGATTGGGAAGAGATGAGAATAACGCTAAGGAAGACAGTAGCGTTGTTGCAAAGTCATGTTATGGGCACAGAAAGGTGTGGTTTTCTTCTCAGTATCCAGGCTGAGTGTGGGGATAAATGGATTTTGCATTCCAGGCGTACTTGATACTAGCGTACTGGGAGAATTCGATGTAAGAGAAAAAAATAAGATCCAATCTTATACATGTGAAAATGTGTTAAATCTATGCCATCTTTATTGTTTGTAATAATATTTATAAAATAGAGATAAGGATGGCTTACATTCTTTTTTGGTTAGTTTTTTTCTTTCACTTCATTTTATTTTGATTACCTGTTACGTCGGGCACTGTCCTGATTCCTGGGTGACGTACTGTTGAGTGAGGTCACTTCTTGTCTGTGAGGTACTCACAGAGTGAGGTACTCTTGTCTTATGGTTTCCATCTTCAACGCTGGTCACATACATTGTGTTGGTGGAGCCTTGCCACTGCCCCTTTATAGGCATAGTTACCTTGTTGCTAGGCACTGCTTCCAGATGAGGAAACAGAGTTTAAGACAGATTAAATAACTGTTGTGCCCAACACACAGTGAGGCCAAATACACTGAAAGGTCAGAGTTTGGAGCAGAGAAAGGTTTATTGAAGGGCCAAGCAAGGAGAACGGGGCAACAAGTGCTCTAAAGACCTGAACTCTCTGATGGTTTTTGGGGAAGACATTTTATAGGCAAAATTTGGGGAGGGGGCTGCAGGGTGTGTTACTCTCCTCTGATTGGTTGGAGGTGGTATTCCAGGAATCTCAATCATCAACCTTCTCATTCCAACCAGTCTGGGTTCACGAGCTTATGCTCTGCCTAAAGTTACCATCCTCCACCAGGGTGGGAGCCTTAGTTCCCACAGAGCTCAGAGATATGTATGTAAATGTTTTGTACATCCCCCAAGGAGGAACCACTACCAGGCCCCATTGCTGTACTACTCTTTTCTTTTCTTTCCTTGCCTTTTTTCTTTTCTTTTCCTTTCTTTATTGAAGTATACTTGATATACAATACAGTGATTCACAATTTTTAAAGGTTATACAAACTAGTGAATATAACAAAAAAAGAAGCAGACTCACAGATATAGAGAACAAGCTAGTGGTTGCCAGTGGGGAGAGGGAAGGAGGGAGGGGCTATATAGGGTTAGGGGATTAAGAGAAACTGTAGGTATAAAATAAGCTATAAAGATATATGGATAACAGGGGGAATATAGCCAGTATTTTATAATAGCTATAAATGGAGCACAATTGCTTCTTTCTGCATTCCCTCACTCCCCTAATTAGTAAGTGAATCTGCCCTTTGGAACTCAGGGAAGGTCTAGGAGACTGAAAAACAAAAGGCAGTATCCTGCTTAGTTTCATTGAGTAAGTGCAGTAAGAGAAACTTAAAGCCATTCATGTTTAGAAAGCATCCCTTATGTCAAACTGCTTTAACAGCATGGAAAGGGTGGGAATCACAGCTGAATGGCTGAGAACCCAAAGGCAAACCCACGGATGGGAATCCAGTGGAACCCATGCTGACCTGGTGTGGTACAGTCTCCTCCATGACAAGAGAGGGAGGCTCACCCCATGATGAAGAAGACAGGCTCTACTACTTTGTAGGATTGGAACCTGGATAAATCTATGACACGTTTGTAGCCTTGGGATTTGTCTCTGGAAAATAGTGGTAATAGCCAAATGATAGGGTCATTGCCAAGATCACACCACACAATCTAGTCACAATATTTAGCCCAGTTTTGGCATATAATCAGTACTCAAATAAATAGCCCTAAACTCATAATTATAAATTACTATTGTCAACATCATCACTAATAAATATTCTATTGTGTGTATTCAGTTTTATTCCAGATCAGTTGATGTAAGGTCATAATTGTGGAAGAGATTTTCATATTGGTAAATGTGTGTGTCTATATTATTGTGTATCTACTGCATGAGGGAAAAAGAAGAACAAAATGAATTTTGATCTCTTTGGGGGAATTAATTAAAAATAAAATCTTCATCCAACCTAGAAGTCCTCTTCAGAAATGTAGAAAAGTTTTATTTGAATAAGCACTAAACCAGACAGTTATATGCATCTCAGCAATCCACTAAAGACATTGCAAAGAAAGAAAGACATCTTATCCTTTTATATAGCCAGGCAGATACAGTCATTTACATACATGTTAACTGTCTTGATCCAAAGGAAAAATAAAATGTCTTCTAACTTTGTAGCAAGCAAAAAGTTACAACTTGGAGCCAGGCACCTAGGCTAAGCTCCCAAAGAGAGAGACAGGATACATTACATTCACATTTCAAAAAGATAGTTCCAAGGCCCCCCCACCCCCACCCCACCCCCACCCCCCTTGAGAGCATTCCCGGGATACAAAGCTAGCTAGAAGTTATTCAGACTTTGTATCCATCTCAAAGAGACATGGAAAGGATTTACAATTCCAAGTTATTTTTAAGGAAACTCACTAGGAAAAAGAAGTGGGAGAGGGGAGTTTTCTTTCTTTTTTGGCATCGGGGAAATTCATTTTTTTTAGATTTATGTTTACCCTTGCATCTTCTAGATATTTCCCAAGAAGAATACAAAAAATCAATACATTACCTAATTATTAGGAACAGAGGAGTTAGGAGAAGTGGAATTGAAACCAATTGTTTGAATGCTATAAAACCATGGAAAATCCTTTTTTAATTCACTTATTATCATTTTTATCCATTGAAATAGGATCGTCACATGGAAATGTTTTAGACTGTTGTGCTATTGTGGGTTGAATTATGTCCCTCCACCCACCAAAAAAGATGTGTTGGTGTCCTAAGCTCCACTACCTCAGAAGGTGACATTATTTGAAGGTAGGGTTTTTACAGAGATAAGCAAGTTGAAGAAGGCCATTGGGGTGGACCCTAATCCAAAATGACTGGCATCCTTGTAAAAAGGGTAAAGTTGGACACAGAGAAGACACATTTAAAGGGAAGACAGCCATCCACAAGCCAAGGAGAGAGACCTGGAAGAGAACCTTCACTTACAGTCCTCAGAAGGAACCAAAAAGTGCCAACACCTTGATTTCAGACTTTGAGCATGCAGAACTGAGAGGCAATAAATTTCTGTTGTTTAAGCCACTCAGTTTATGATACTTCCTTATGGCAGCCCTGGCAATCTCACACACATGGCATCAGTGATAATGGTAACTGTTCATTTCTAATCAGTGCTTCTTATCACTTATACGTATACAGTTAGTTTACTGTTTAAAGTAATTATCTTCCTATGTTTGTATTCTAAGCACAGGGAGGTAGTTTTAGTATTAGGAAACTGATCTTTGTTTCCAGTATTCAAATACATTCCCAATAATATTTTCTAGAGTTACTGTTGGCTGAGGAAGTGGTGGATTTTTATTCTCCTGAACGCAATTATGAATATCGTTTTATTCTACCTACAATTAGATGCACCTGCACCTTCACGGATGGGGCCTTCACCTTTAGAAACACAATCAAGGTTTTGAATTTAAAACAGACACCAGCTTGGCTGCTTAAGACACTTTTTTTTGTCATGAAGTGGTTGTCATTCAAATTGAAGAAGTGATAGGATTTGCAGGAATGAGTATGGAAGGTTAGCCTGCATTCAGCCTGGTAGCTGATGTGTTCTTGGTAGACCTTGCATTCTCGTAGATATGTCGTTGCCATTGCTAATGAAGGAATACTCTTCAAGGTTTCTCTGGAAGCAACAACTCACTGAAGAATATCCACAATAATAACTTCCTAATGGACCAGACCATCATGCTTTAGTTTGTATTTTTTTCATCTGATTATTCTTTCATCGTTGCTGAGTTGTTTTATTTTCTATTACATTATCTTTCTTGTCTTGGATATTGACATTACCTTACTGCTACTGTTTACTCAAAAGTAGAGTCGTCCCTCGGTATCCATGGGGGATTGGTTTCAGGACCCCTCCCTTCTCACCC